CAGCCGCGCTTGATACAGTTAAATCAATCGGTTATCTCATTTCGCGCCTAGTTACCATGAGGTGTTGTTGTTGTCAGTAGACGAGTGAACGCTGGACCGGTAAGACAGGAGGAACCGTGGGAGTGCGATATCCCAATCGCGGCTGTTGTGTTCCTCTGTGAACGCTTTTAAGAAAGCCTTCAGCGATCGATTTGTGCGCTCTATTTCGCCGTTGCCCTAGGGATGGTATGCTGTTGTCCGAGTCTTTCGAATGCCTAATACTTGGCAGAGTTCAAACATCACCAAGCTTTCGAAATTCGGACCGCTATCCGAATGAAGTTGCTCAGGTGCCCCCATTGTGAAATCCAGTGGTCAAACAAAAGCTGAGCTGTGAATCTAGCGTCAGCGTATGGAGTTGGTACTGCCTCACACCGTTTGGTGAAGTAACCGACAAAAATAAGTACATATCGATTCCCTCGCGGCATTTCAGACAGGGGTCCAAGGGCGTTCACACCTACCGTTTCGTTGGGATATCCGCTCATCGTTTGCGGCTGCTTAAAGCGGATGCACTCGTGGCATGCGTTCCAGAAGTTCGCAATATCTCGACGCTGTTGAGGCCCCCAACAACGCAATCCTGCTGCTTGCTCTATTTTCCGTTGTTCGGCATGCCCCAATTCCATATGTAACTGTTAGAGTACCAACCGCACCATATACTGTGGAACGATAAGTCGGTTGGGGTAATTCGGACCGAACGGATAGTACATGACGCCATCCAATAACGGATTTTTCGACCAAGAGACCACAAGCAGTGCGCTTCCCATCTAGACCCAGCCATTTCTGCTTTCGTAGACTACATTCCCCTGCTGTACGCGCTCATAAATCAACTTGGTCTCTCTATCTGTACTATGGGCTGATGCCCAATCTGTTGAATCCGAATGGTTCAGAGACACAACGGCAACGTTCAAAATTGAACATGACGTACAGTCCCCATGTACCCTTGATATACAAGCTCGTAGGCCTGCAGTTGTTTTGCCAGCGCGCAACTTGTCCTTCGGGTTCGAGAAATTCCCGCAACCGCTGGAGTGCTTGATGATCGGTACAGACTACAAAATGTCGACCCAACAAGAAATGTCGGAAAGCTTCAGCGAATGGGCCCAAAGCAAGGATTTCCTTCCGGGTTGTGCAGTCGTTTCGCTGCGTCTTCTTCAACTTGCTGCTAACGTAAGCGATAACCCGTTCCATACCGCCCCCAGAGATCCTTGATAATACAGCACCGATACCAACTTCGCTAGCACCAGTGTCCAAAATGAATGGCATGTTTGCGGTGACGCATCCAAGAAGACAAAGACCGGAACGCTGACCAACGCAAGACGCAGCTCATCAAACGATTCTTGACACTGCGGGCTCCAGTGGAATGGCCCGCCTTTCTCTGTGAGTCGATGTAAGGGTGCTGCTATATCCGCATATTTCTTTACGAAGCGTCTGTAGTTAGAAGCCAAACCCAAAAGCTCCGGACCTCTTCCACGGACTCGAGGGTCGGCCAACTTTAGATATCTTGTACTTTTGAAGGGTCGCTTCGGATCCCAGAATTGCTAATCACGTGGCCCAGCTATTTAACCTATTCCTTCAGCAGATCGCACTTAGACGGCTTCAGATTCAATCCTGCTTAGCTAAGGCACTCCAGTACTGTTTCCAGATTTCTAAGATGCTCATGGAGAGTACGTCCATTAACTGACATCACCCAGGTATACAAGACATTTGCTTGGCTGCCGATCTCCGAGTACAATATGCATCAATCATTGGAAGGTTGCTGGGGCATTAGCCAACCCAAACGGCATCGTCTGAAACTCATATAGCCCCGTAGGTCTAAGGCACGCAGTTTTTTCCACGTTTGTGGGGTTTATCTCGACTTGTCAATAACCTGAGGCGAGGTCCAAAGTAGAGAACCAGCTGGGGCCATGCAATGATTCCAGTGTCGTCAATGCGAGGTAGCGGGAAAGAATCTTTTCATGTAACATCATTAATCTTCCTGTGGTCAACACACATGCGCAGTGTTCCATCCTTCTTTTTGACTATTATTATTATTAATATTATTATTATTATTATCAGCAGTCTATAAGATAAACTTAGAGCTAGCGAAAGCCATGAAACGGTAGTAATAAATACAGGGACTACAACGAAAAGAATGGAAGTTGCAAAGAAGTTTTTTGTATCTTGTCTTTTCTTTTTTGTTTTTTTCACCCTGTTTTGTCTTTTTGTCTAGTTAATGTTTACGATGTAAATCAAGCAAGTCAAGACAAACATTTGCACACATTTTCCATTGAGCCCGGTCCTATGCGAGCGAAAAAAGCGCGTCGGGGCAGCCGTTCGCAAGGCATGCATAAGACGTTGGCCAGCCACCTCAGTTGGCGCAGTGGTGCCAGTCTGTCAAGTGGAAGTCCCGTGTTACCCAAGACGCAACGTCTCACATCGTTGCGTACGTGGTACCTTCACTACACTCAAGCTATTGCCTGCAGACATCCATTGTCAAAGGCCGAAACCAGACGCAAGTCATTCACACAAATCCGCCATGACACCCCCATACAGTAGCACCTCGCGAACACAGGCATTGTAGACCCTGCACTTTACCAATAGTGAAACGTCGCGGCGTCGTCATAGATGCCTCAAGTTGGCGAATGCCGAACGGGTTTTGGCAATGCGGAGGGAAATCTCTTTCCCGATGCTACCATCAACGGAGACAGCTTCCCAGGTAAAAAAAGTTGTCCACTTGTTCAAGCTGCGTATCTTGAAGAGTGAGCACTAGTCACGCGGTTGCCAGGAAGAAGCTCTACACCAAAACCCTGAAAGCCCTCTAGAGCGTTTAAAAGGACATCTTCGACCACAAAATTGAGGAGAAACGGGGACATAGAGAAACCCTGTCGTACACCGCTAGTGACGGAAAAAGGTGAAGAGAGCTTACCATAAGCCCTCACTTCACCTGAGACATTGCAATATAATGCTCGAAGGATGGCGATATACTTTTCGGGTACCCCATTCTTTGTAAGCAGCGCCATAAAGCCGGCCGATCGACAGAGTCGAAAACGGCTTGGATGTCCAGAGAAACAATGATAATGGGCTGGCGGTAAAAGTGACGCGTGTCAAGGAGTTGGCAGAGCGTAAACAGCTGATCTATACACCCTCGACCGGGGCGGAAACCAGCCTGTTCTTCACGGGAGCGCAATTCTCGAATCGCGGTTAGTCTGCGGAGTAGAATGGATGTTAACAACTTGGAGGCAACGGACATTAGGCTGATTCCTCGGTGGTTAGCGCATAGGGTACGGGCACCTTTCTTGACTAACACAATACGGAAGCTCACTTGGATCGTGAATGACGTGATATTATCTTTTAACATATGATCCACCACTTTCTATACTTTCTGCATATACACAAATAGGACACGCCTGGAGCATCATCCGTTTCAATCTGATGCTTAAGTACGCTCGTTCTACCAACTTCTCCACGCGGACGCGTGCTTGTTTGAACGCAGTAAATTCTCCAGGCACTTCCGATCCTCACCGTCAACTGCAGAACTAACAGAAGCAAGCAATTCCGATAGCTCGCCTTTAAGATCCACGGTGCTGGAGCTCTTTCACGGGGCCATCACTGGGTTTGAAATTTAGTGGGAGTAGGTTGCCGCGTAATGTCAAAACCCTGAAGATTAGATTGACGACGCATGCACACCGCCTTAAAGTCAACCACAAATGTCGCATCCCATGGAATTTAATCGGAGATGTACAATTCGCGAGAAAATAGCTCCTGACCGGCCAGCAAATCTAAGGAAACAACGCTATGAGTAAGCAGGGCCATACCATTTGCCACTCTGATCTGATGCCCGGGGCTAGTGACTACAGTGCAAAGCAAGCAACGGGATTTTAAAAGCCTACATACTGTACCGGTGTCGATGAGGGCATGTAATCGCTGCTTATTGACTACTACATCCACAATTTTTGATTCACAGAACTTAAAACACACCAAAGGTATACAAGGAAGGTCCGACTCACCGTCAATGAATCGTACTCCCGTTGATTGTTCGCGCCTTCTGAAATTGCGAGGGCACCGTATTGGCTTCTCATCGGGCGAATTCTGACACATGGGACAATGACGATGGCAAGTATGCGAGCTTGGGTCGTGTGGCGTTTCAGTCCGGTTCATCGTCGGCGCTAAACCCCTCGGACGCAAGCCGCGCAGCGGTCGCTAAATCTTTTGGAGGCTTCCGAAAAAAATGCCCCGATGTGCGATCATCGTTGATGCTTTCTATAAACCGCTCCAAGATGAAGGTCTCCCTTTCCATCACGGTATTCTCTGGAAAAGCCTTGGCCGACGGCACGCGGTCGTACAAAAAGACATGGGCTGACTCTGTCTCTCGACGAAATTTCTTCCAAACGGCTGAACGTGAAGCCGACATGTGTTTTTTATCCGGAGAAAAGGCTTCTAGTTGATTCAAGATCTCTAACAGAGGCATCTTGGCGAATATCGGTAGATAGCAGAATCTCTCGAACTCGGTCTCCGAGGGAATTCATTACAACCGAGTACTTATGTTCACTGATTGCGGCGGCAACAAGCGTTACGGTGGTCACAACACACGAATAGAGTCAAGGCAAAACACAGCGTGCTCACAGCAGCGTGTACTTGGCAATAGTCAAACTCAGATTATTCAAACAAAACGGGTCAACTGTCACAAACCGATGTACGAAGTACAACAATAACAATTATTATTGCTCTTTATGGTCATTGATCTCTTCTGATATACAACCCACATTTCTTGTTTGATGGCTCGGCCACCGATCTGAAAGGAGGAGGTCAAAAATAGTTAGACAATTGGCACTACATCGGAACCTGACTTGATTTGAAAGTCAACTTGTTAATTGCTTTGAAGTACTAGCCGCTATTTAGTTTTCTACTGCGCAGTGAATTCCCCATGATATGTTCCCGAAGGCTTCTTATTTGTAGCCATCATTTTAAAGTAGCTACAGATTGTCGGCCCTTGTCACACCGCGATTATTGGCACGCTCTTCGACTGGTCAGGCGCACTCTTGGATGTGGGTTTCCTCTGAATACACACTTTTTGTATCATTGGACAATACAGTGTAGAAAGAAGATCCCTTGTTAGCTTCATGATTTACAGATCATTGCGAACCGAGGTTCCGCAGAGGACCGCTGCAGCTGCGTTAGAAGCAGCAAAATCCCGGCATTCTCTGGTGCGAATCCAACAATCGTTTGGAACGTCACTTGTTCTGCGCATCGGCGGTGGACTCCGGTAAGCGGTTCCAGTCATCCACTACGCGAGTTGGTAGGTCCAACTTGGGCGGCACGCCGAGACTCATCGGTTTGAACAGTTCCAAGCTGTGGTCTCGTGCCAAACTCTCCGTACTGTTGCAGGACTCCCTTAACTCACTCTCAAGCTCTCCTCTAAGAATACGTCGGGCGAAAATCACATCTCTGCGACGACGGTAATCCAGTGAGAACAGGTTCAGGCGTTGAAGCCGTGTAGAATATGACAAGGACTGCAACTCAGAGACGGATTTAGGTTCGCACCGTTGAACTTTCCCAGCCTTATCACATTCGGGTTTGGTGAGAGGCTTGGAGACAAGTATTCCGTATTCGAGAATCGGGCGCTCGTTTGGGGTAAACAGGGGCAGAAGGGCTCCGGGCTCAGGCTTGGGAACCTACTACATGTAGCATGGGACATACTGTAGATCGCCGTCGTCTTCCGGATGTACTAAATAGGTCTGAAGTCTGGGAACATTATCCCTCCAAGGTCCTTTTCATAGGTGGCCTTTTTGAGCAAGTAACCACCGACATGGTGAGGACCAAATAGGCCAGACGCACTTACTGGAAGAACTGGACGTTTATCGCCCTTACGGGTAACTGCCACATCCTCGACCAATCGTGGAGTAAGTCGAGCGTCAATTGTAATTTGGTAGCGTCTTCCAATCTGGATACATCCACCCACACTTTCGGGTAGTCAGTGTAGATTAGGCAATCCTTCTAGCATGCGGACGGTAAGTCGTTGATGAAGACATTGAAGAGCATTGGGCCGAGGACAGAATCCTGTGGGACTGCACTAGTCATTAAAACAAGAGGCAAAGTTTACTTTACTTTCATCAAAGATCAAAGAGAGAAAGTGCACAGCGATACTGTTCGCAGGTAGTTTAAACAGAAGCCGTTAATGCGGGATTTTGTCAAAAGTTTCGATGAAACCAACAAACAACGTCCAAGCGTATACCGGAATCTAACGATTTCCCATTCTACCTTAGCCACGAGCTGGTTTGAGACCGATGAGCGTACCATTCGAAAATCATGTTACACATAAGAGCTGGCATTCTGTTCCTCGGGATATAGATGAAGAGCATGTCTCAGTATCCGTTACATAAATTTACACGCTCTCTCCATGAAACAGCTTGGAGGATAGCTGGTTGGAGTTTGTCGGTTCCATTATTCGTGGACGGTTTTGACAATGCCCACTTTCCATGCAGACGGGAGGCGTCCAGCGACAAAGGAACGACGAAACATCTGAGAGACTGGCGTGGCAGTGTAATTCGCCACGATGTTGAGGGAAACTGGCTGTAATTCATTAGGGATGGACGAGTACGGAGTTAAATTAAGCAGAACCTTCATCCAAGCATCAGGGTTAAGGTATACTTTGTTTAACAGCGGAGGAAAACTGATAACATTGCTATCAAAGTGTGATGTTTCTTATACGTAAACATGAGCGTACTGCTGGGCCGAGACTGGCTTTTTTGGCGTCCTCTTAAAGTAAGGCCAGATGCTCATAGAAACAAGGCAGGAATGCCAATGCGGGCTCTAGTGCTACTTTTCAAATACGAGGAATGCATTTTGGATGTTGTTATGGAGTGTTCCGCTAATGACAAATCATATTATTGGCGCTTGTGGCCTTTCTTTGTGACACAAACATTCGTCCTTCTCTCTCCTTAGTAGTCAACATAATCTACACTCTATTCATTGATGTTGACTTACATATGCGGTTGCGTCCATTGTTTATGTCAGAACGTCGCGTCGATCAGAGTAATTGGTTTCTGTAGCACACCGACTGCAACATCTTCCGAGCATAAACGCCCCCCTTTGTGGAGCCTTCGATGTCGTATGTGACTCATCCCTTCAGAATGCAAACTACTATTCCAGGATCGGCTCTTACACTTTTCTGTTTTCTCCACTGAAAGCTCACAGCATATGCGGGTTGAGCGATGCCTCTCGGTTTGCGACCTTATTGCTTCGCAACGCCCTTGTTCGTGCAGTATATTGCATGAAAGCGAGTCTGGACTGATTCGCGTGAACGAAATGCGTCGGCTTTCTACCTTTGATAATGGGTTGTTGAAGAGCGCCCTTTGTGTGCATTGGCAGCACCGGATTTACCACGGTGAAGTTAAACGTGGTGTCTTGGAGAATATGAGCTTATGGGTTATGCCCGAATGAAATCCGAAATAACTATGGAGCAATGGAAGTATATCGTGAAACCGACAAATCATGTAATGTGCATAAGAGTTCGGCAAGTACTTTGGCGAGCAGTAGTATGTATTGTCTTCTAAGCCAGTACTAGAACATACAGCTAACCTGGACCGGTGAGCGCAGTGAAGGCGACAGGCATATCACACACGAGGTGGTGCACTGATCTACACATGCACAGTATACACTACGCAGACGGCTGAGGTAACGCATAAGCGGCTGACGTTGCACCACTTCCTGGCCAACGAGCCGGCTTGTCTGAGGTAACCTCGTGTTCAGAACAATCATCATAGTTTATTACTTAGCCTGTGGACGCATATTAATCATAGTCCGCCCCCAGCATTCTACTCCGGGTCTCAGCATTCTGAAATTATAAGGCGTCACTAATATAAATAGCAGCACAATATTCGCCAGCACTAGTGTTTGCCGTGAGAACTTTTTATGAGATGCTGTTTTTTTGCCACATCAGCTTGCAGACCGATCATAAGCCGTTACTCGCTATTTTTGGCTCTAATATGGGTATCCTGACATATTCCACCAGCAGATTGCAGCTTTGGGCAACTATTCTTTTGAAACATGAGTTTGATATCTGTTACTGGCAAACGCAAGATTTCCGTCAGGGCGACGCCTTGTGCCGGTTAATCAGCTCAAATCGGCAGGTGCTGGTAGATACCATTATCACACTAGTTTCCGTGGAATCGGATGTTCGTTCGCACCTGGCTGATGCTGTTCGTGTGGTTCCGATCACTCCCCGTGTCACCGAAAGAGAAACGAGCATCGATCCTCTCCTCCAGGAAGCAATTAATTGTGTCCGCAACCGATGTCACCAAATGAAGATCTATGATAGCTTTATTTCCGTCGAGCAAGGTTGTCCATAGTTTATTCCTGTCCAATGTTCGCGGATCTCATTCTCATCCCCTCTTCGCTTCGACCTTATCGTCTTAGGTTAATTTTACGGGAGCCATCCTGGTGCACGAGAAATGAAAGCCATCGTCCGAAGTTGTCCATTGGCCGGGTATCGACCAGCAAATAGAGATGTTGGTTCAACAAAATCCCCGCTTTCGGCAAGCTGTCAAGAAATCTCTACGTGACACCACACTACCGTGGATCCAATCTTATAAGCCGTTGTCTCGCCTACACGTCGATTTTGTTGGCCCAGAGGACGGCATTATTTGTCCCATCCTAATCGACGCAACGTCCAAGTGGCTCGAAATCATTCCTCAGTCACATGCGGCAACATCGTCCACCATCTTTGCCCTTCACAGGATTTTCCGTCAGCATAGGTTTCCAGATACCTGGGTTTCGGATAACGTATCCAAATTTACGTCAGCACTTTTCCATTATTTTTGCAATTGGAGTGTTACCAATCACTTACGCACCCCACCGTACCACCGCCAATCAAACGGTCAAGTTGGACGGTTAATGGAAACTTTTAAACGAGCTCTGTTGAAAACGTTGGGGGGAAGGAACCGTTGATGATAACATTCACCATCTTATGCTTTACAGGAACACTCCAAATCCGGCAACACCAAGTAGATCCTCCCTTGCCGAATGCCATATGGGTAAGAAACCACGCACCATCTTCGATACAATGTTGTCGTCAGCAAAATCGTCACTACTCTCGGAAAACATTCTCAGTTGGTGATTTAGTCCGCTGGTGATTGCAGGCAAGGTCATCCAGCGTAGGTCTCAGCAGTGATAGCTGGTCGCCGTGGTCCTGCGGTGTATGTAGTGGCATCATCATCGTCATTATACACGTTAGCTAGAGGTGGGAAACACCTCAGCTACTGTGCCGTGTATGAAATGGCGGTTGAATCGCACGTGGGTACGACACAAAAATCAACTTCGCCCACGCCATGATGATCTCACAGTCACTGACGAAGAATTGCCACTAGAGATACTGTTAGACACGTTCGGGCTCATCCCTAACCCGTTGACAGGCACTAAATGCACCACCCGGACGGGTTTCCTTGCAATCCAGAAGGTGAACCGACCGGAAGCGCCGTCCAAGATCCTTGCAACTGGATCCCCGGCATCCTTGATACGTCAAGTCAAAATAGGCTTTATGAACCCGACTGGGAACATTTTCAGCATTTTGCACTGGTGCTGCGGATGTTGTGAGACAAACAGAAGCATTCATTCATTCAAGTAAGCGTTCACGCGTGGTGCTGATTAGTTTCTTGGAGTCCACAGGAAAACGGGTTGTATACGGTAAGATAGAGTTGGGATAATTTGTTGTGCGAGAAAACGAACCCCTAAATTTAGTGAGTAGACGAGCAGGAGAGGGTTTTAGATCAATCAGCGTGAAGGGCGTGAAAAGGGTCATTTAAAACATTTGCTGAAAACGTCACATGCACTAAAGTGTTTAGTAACGACTAAGTCAACCAGAGACTCTCTAGACAATCCACTGCACTTGGAAATGAGCATAATGGAACGCACAATCAATGTGCAGTCTTTTTGTAGAAGACCAGGAAAAACAATAGAGGAGCAATATAACCAATTGGGAAGAACACAGGCAGTCACAAATTTGTAAATTAAAGAGCAGGTTACTAAAAGAATGTTGAGTCTGAGGGCATAGGATGATAATTTCCGCACCTTGCGGAACGTTTCGTCAACGTATGTTGACCAAGACAGATTGTGAGATAAATATACACCAAGGTACTTAACAGTGGATGAAGTAGGTATATTGTGGTCGCTTGCGACCATGGGGGAGAAGTGTTTTCCACAGTCAGACGTTTGTCAGTGCGCGGAAGAGAAAGCTACATCGCGGCATTTGGAAGCGTTGAGAGTAAG